GGCGGCGAAGAGACCCCGGAGACCGCGTCTGGCGGCGAAGAGGGCTTAGAGTCAACAGCTGGCGGCAACCATGGAGGCGACCCCTCTGGAGATGCGGAGCGCGCCGACCCCTCTGGAGATGCCGACCCCACTGGAGACTTGGAGAGCGCCGGCCCCCCTGGAGACTTGGAGAGCGTCGACCCCCCTGGAGACTTGGGGAGCGTCGACCCCTCTGGAGACTTGGAGAGCGTCGACCCCTCTGGAGACTTGGAGAGCGTCAACCCCTCTGGAGACTTGGAGAGCGTCGACCCCTCTGGAGACTTGGAGAGCGTCGACCCCTCTGGAGACTTGGAGAGCTGTAGCTCTGCAGCAGACGGCGAAGAGACCTGAAGCTCTGCAGCAGTCGGCGAAGAGACCTGGAGCTCTGCAGCAGACGGCGAAGAGACCTGTAGCTCTGCAGCAGACGGCGAAGAGACCTGTAGCTCTGCAGCAGACGGCGAAGAGACCTGTAGCTCCGCAGCAGACGGCGAAGAGACCTGAAGCTCTGCAGCAGACGGCGAAGAGACCTGTGGCTCTGCAGCAGACGGCGAAGAGACTTTTGGTGCGGTGAAGTTGATTGGTGTAGGATGAGTGATGGTGACCTTGGGTGTGCTAAGTTTCCTAGTTTCTATTAATAAATTATTGTACTCTGGAAGCTGAACGAGACCAGGCCATGAAAGCAAAAACTTCTCCATGTATGAAAATATAATTGCTGAACTGTCCGGGTTATTTCTTGCAGTAGTAAATGAATCTAATAGTGACTGGTTAATGAAAGCGAGATCCTGGGGTGAATATGATACTGATGGGCCTGTGTCTTTAAGTGAGGGTGTAGAGTCAGGTGTCGCCCCCACCGAAAACCTGAGAGGTGGGGCGGCGGAACACGCCCCCACTGAGTCACTTGTAGCATGCCCCATAGGTACGGACTGGCCGGGTTGGACAGCCGCGGCGCGATGTGACGGTGAGAGGCCGGACTCCGCCCCCACCAAGAACCTGGAGGGTGAGGCCACGGAATCCGCCCCTGTAACGTCAACCGGACCGGACCCGCCGAACCGAGCAGAAGTGGACCGGAGCTCCCGCGGGACGTCGGACCTCGCCCCCACCGAAAACCTGAGAGGTGAGGCGGCGGATCCGGCTCCCACAGAAACACCAGAACCAACCCTACAATTCTGCTCAGCCGACGAAACCGGCCCGGTCGCCGCGGGCTGCCCTCGGGACCGCTTCCTATCTCCCCGGCGACGACGGGTGAGTCGAGGGACCGGAACAAAACCGAACTCCTCCTCGATCTCTTCGTCCTCCCCCGACGTCCATCCCGAGTAGCCGGGCGAGGCGGACTCTGGAACAGCGGTGCGGTGGCTTCCCCGGTACCGAGCTCTGTCCTCCTCGAGGACCAGGAGTGGAGAGGACAGGATTTCCACCTCCTGGTCATAACGTCCTTGAGAGCGGACGGGCCTAGTCCAGAACCCGTCGCACCGGATTGTGGATCTGCTCATCACGGGAGGCTCGGAGGAGAAAAAGAAAAAAGGTGAGCTGCCGAGAGAGCCCTGCCCGCTGGGTTCTAATGTGTGGTCGCGTCGTAATGTCAGGGTTTGGTGGACAAGAACGAACCCAGTAGCGCAGACAGGACTCAACTCGGCAGATTACAAAACCAAAAACTTTAATGATGAATAACAAAGTAACAAAACAAGAAGCTGACGTGGCAGCACACTTACTTAAACTAGTAGACTCAGGAGGGATACTCAAAACGGGACTCAGGAAGCTCAGGAAAACAGGAGACTCAGGAGAACACAGAAGACCCAAACGAATACGACGCGACGAAGAACAAGACAGAACAGACAGCTTTTATACCAGGACAAAACGAGACGTGATTACAAACAGCTGTGACGAGACAAGGGTGACACCAATTAAACTGAAGAGAACACACAAGGGAAACACAGACACAAACAGAACCAGTAAATGGTACCATCCTTACAGTACCCCCCTCAAGGACGCCTCCAGGCGTCCCCCAGAAAACCCCCCTCCCGAAGGACTTGGGCGGGTGGAGGGCGGCACTGCAAGGGTGGAGGGCCAGAGGAAACACCAGGACCAGAGAAAAGACACGAGGGACCAGAGAAAATACACGAGAGATCACAAAGAACGAGACACGAGGAGCCAAGGAGAAAAAGGACACGAGGAGCCAAGGAGACAAAGGACACGAGGAACCAGAAAAGGGACACGAGGAGCAAAAAGGACACGAGAAGAAAAACAAGACACGAGGAGCCAAGGACACGAGGAGCAAAAGGGCACGAGGAGCCAAGGAGAAAAACAAGACACGAGGAGCCAGAGAACACAAAACACTAGGAGCCAGAGAAAAACAAAAACACTAGGAGCCAGAGAAAAACAAAAACACTAGGAGCCAGAGAAAAACAAAAACACTAGGAGCCAGAGAAAAACAAAAAGACACGAGGGATCACAAGGAATATGGACGGTCAAGGGACCGTCCCTAAAGTCATTGTTCAGGGGGGCGGCTGGGAGGCCGTCCAACACTGGACCATCGTTCAGGGGGGCGGCCGGGAGGCCGTCCAACACGGGACCATCGTTCAGGGGGGCGGCCGGGAGGCCGTCCAACACGTAGGACCTTGGAGGCCGACTCTGGCGGCGTAGAAACCTTGGAGGCCGACTC